GGTCTTCTCTTGTGCTGTTCATCTACCCTTCCAAGGATCGATCCCTTTTTGCCACACGTCCTTAGTGTGTGAGATGGAGTCTCAAAATCCTTGCTTCCAGGGAGCAGTCTGGTTTCACCCTCTCCAGGACAGACCTGTTTGTTCTTCAGGCAGTCCACAATATGTTCAACACTCTTCTCCAGTACCACACCTCAAAGGCATCGACCCTTCTTCTCTTATCCTTATTATCATCCAGCTTTCTTATGCATAGCAAGTAACTGCACAGAGTAGTAACTATGACATAGCCAGATTAATCTATAAGTTTATTCAGATTTGTGTCCACTTTGTCAGTTATACTCATATCCAAATGATTGAAGATTTTTTAAAGAACAGAATTATGCTAAAAAGCACTTACATTATTAACAAAACATCAGTGAGCAGAAAGAACAATAACTTAACTTGAGGCTGAAGATATCTGGCTTCTCCTCTCATCTCTGCCAGTTCAACAGACTGTCAGAGAATCATTTAATCTTGCTTGTTGTTTCTATATGTCATCAAGTTGCCCGCAAGTCATAGTGACCCTATGTACAATAGCTCTGAATCCTTCCCTATTCTGAGCCAGTCTCCCTGATTCTTGACACACCTAATCCTACTGCGCCAGTTTCCATGTCAGTCCATCTCATCTGGAGTCTTCTTCTCCTAGACTGCCCCTCTACCCTTCCAAGCATGATGTCCTTCTCCAAAGACTGGTCTCTCCTAGTCACATGCCCAAAGTATGTGAGACGGAGCTTCAAAATCCTTGCCTCTAAAGAGAAACTTGGTTTCACCCTCTCCAGGACAGATCTATTTTTTTCCTTGGTGGTCCATGGTATGTTCAAGACTCTTCTCCAACATCACAACTCAAAGGCATCAATTCTTCTGTCATCCTTAGTCATTATCCAGCTCTCTGATATATAGCAAGTAATTGCGAAGACCATGGACTGGATCTAGTTTCTGACCAGGTATTAATATTCTTAATTATAATATTGTAAGAGTGCTCTGGTGTCATAGTGGGTAAGGAGTTGCACTGGCAAACCAAAAGTAAGCAGTTTGAATCCATTAGCTAGTTGCTCTAGAAGAGAAAGATAGGTATTCTTCTCCTGTGAAATAAACAGTGGCTGAAAACCCACCAGAGGGTTGGCTATGTGTCAGTTCCACATAATGATGAGGAAGTAGTTAGAGTCAGGTAGCAATTTCCTTGGGTCTATTCAGTTTCTAAGATTTTAAGCAATCAGTAATTTCCATTATTAGTGCTTTCCATTATGATAATCAAGTGTATTTATATATACTTTAAATTCTTTTTAAAATAATACATACCCTTTCTTCTTCTAAGGCACACACCTTCATTTGTAACTGAAAAAATGTAACAATTAAAATATAGGTAAGTACATACTAATTATATTGGTGAGTGAAACTACAGAAAGCTGTTATATGCCTATACTGAAATAAATATATCAATTTGATTTTCAGAAAATTAAAAATATAAAATGGGGAAGCAGTTACTAAAATAAATGACACTTTAATTACTCAAGTTAGAAAAAGTAGTTATCCTTAAAAGTTCCATTTTCCCAGAGGAGCCTGGTAGCTTAGTGGTTAAACATCTGGGTGCAAACTAAAAGGTTGGCAGTTCAAACTCATCAGCTGCTTGGCAGGTAGAAGACTACCTCAATAAATTTTTAAAAATAAAAAAAAGTTTCGTTTTCCTCTTCAAAAGTGTTCCTTAGCTTTCCCTCTCCCCCCTCTAAGTGCTTGGGGCCGACTGCCTTCTCTCTTCTTGGCCTCTGCTGCTGCCTAGCTCCAGGTACAGCAGACATCATGGGCTTCAGAGACCTCAAGACTACCACTGGCCTCCAGGTCCTCAATGATTACCTGGCCGACAAGAGGTACATTGAGAAATATGTGCCATCACAAGCAGATGTGGCGGTGTTTGAAGCCATCTCCAGAACCCCACCTGCCGACTTCTGTCATGCCCTACATTGTTATAATCACATCAATCGTATTACAAGAAGGAAAAGGCCAGCCTGCCAAGAGTGAAGAAAGCACTGGGCAAATACGGCCCTGCTAAAGTAGAAGACACACAGGAAGAATTCAAGATACTGAAGAGTTGAATAGAAGATTTCAAAAGGCATCACGGGATGACAAAGAAAAATATTACAATGAAATGTGCAAGGAGTTGGAGTCAGAAAATCAAAAGGGCCAAACTCGCTCAGCATATCTTAAGCTTAAGGAACTGAAGAACAAATTGAAACCTCGAGTTGCTATAATCAAGGATGCTTTCGGCAGAATGTTAAATGATCCAGAAAGTATTAAAAGAAGATGGAAAGAATATACTGAGTCACTGTATCAAAAGGAATTGGAAGACACAGGAGAATTTCAGGAAACAACATATGAGCAAGAGCCTATGGTGATGAAAGAAGTAGTTCAGGCTGCTTTGAAGGAAATGGCAAAAAATAAGGCTCCAGGAATAGATGTATACCAACTGACATATTTCAGTTAACAGATGCTGCCCTGGACGTGCTCACCAAGTTGTGCCAAGAAATCTGGAGAACGACCATTTGGCGAACTGACTGGAAGAGATCTATATTTGTTCCCATCCCAAAGAAAGCTGACCCAACAGAATATGCAAACTACAGAACAATCTCACTGATTTCACATGCAAGCAAAATTTTACTGAAGATTATCCAAAAATGACTGGAACAGCATATCAACAAAGAACTCCCAGAAGTCCAGGCTGAGTTTAGAAGGGGTCGTGGTACTAGGGATATTGTAGCTAATGTTAGATGGATCTTAGCTGAAAGCAGGGAATACCAGAGGAATGTCTATCTGTGTTTGATTGACTATGCAAAGGCATTTGACTGTATGGATCATAACAAACTGTGGCTGACTCTGAGAAGAATGAGAATCCCAGAACACTTGATCGTTCTAATGCGAAACCTATACTTGGACCTGGAGGCAGTCGTCAGAACAGAGCAAGGGAACACTGCATGGTTCAAAATTGGGAAGGGCGTACGCCAGGGATGCATCCTATCTCCATACCTTTTCAACCTATATGAAAAACAGATTATCCGGGAGGCTGGGCTCTATGAGGAGAAATATGGGGCCAAGATTGGTAGACAATTTATCAACAATCTGCGTTATGCAGATAACACAACCCTGCTTGCTGAAACTGAAGAGGACCTGAAGCACCTGAAGAGGGTCAAGGAGTGCAGCCTACAATATGGACCAATTGGCAGCATCAGGATGGATGGTGAAGAGACTGAGATTGTACACAGCTTTAGTTTGCTTGGCTCCACAGTCAACAGTCTTATCACCAGCAGCCAGGAAATTAAAAGGTGCATTGCCATGGGAAAGTCTGCTGTTAGGGACCTCTCCAAAGTACTGAAGAGCAATGGTGTCTCTCTGGAGACTAAGGTGCGTCTGATACAGGCCATGGTCTTCGCAATCACTTGTTATGCATCAGAGAGTTGGACAATGACCGAGGAGGATAGAAGGAGAATTGATGTCTTTGAGCTGTGGTGCTGGAGAAGAGTATTAAGAATACCATGGACTGCTAGGAAAACAAACAGATTTGTCCTGGAAAGGGTTAAACGGGATGGCTCCTTGGAGGCAAGGATTCTGAGGCTCTGTCTAACATACTTTGGACATGTTGTGAAGAGAGACCGGTCCTTGGAGAAGGACATCATGCTTGGGAGGGTGGAGGGACAGCGCAGGAGGGGAAGGCCCTCTATGAGGTGGATTGATTCAATGACTGGGATAACAGGGATGGGAGTGTCAGAGACAGTGCGATTGGCACAGGACAGAGCAGAGTTTAGGGCTGTTGTACATAGGGTTGCTATGAGTTGTAAGCGACTCGACGGCACAAAACAACAACAATGTAGAAGACACCACCGAAGGTGGAGCTGCGGACAGTAAAGATGATGATGACATTGATCTCTTTGGATCTGAGGAGGTGGAAATTGAGGAAGCAAAGAAGCTAAGAGAAGAACATCTTGCACAGTATGAGTCAAAGAAAGCCAAAAAAGTCTGTACTTGTTGCCAAGTCAATCTTAGTAGACATGAAGCCTTGGGGTGATGAAACTGAAATGACAAATCTGGAAGGATGTGTCAGAAGTGTTCAGGTATACAGCTTGCTCTGGGGCTCTTCCAAGCTAGTACCAGTGGGATACGGAATTAAGAAGCTTCAGATACAGTGTGTAGTTGAAGATGATCAAGTTGGCACAGATATGCTGGAAGAACAGATAACTGATTTTGAAGATTATGTGCAGTCCATGGATGTGGCTGCTTTCAACAGAGTCCATCAATGAAAGTCCATCTGCATCCAACAATAAAAACTTTAAAAAAGAAAAAAAAGAGTTCCTTAAATGACTGAATAGCTTGAAATATCATATCCCTAAATATTAACATCTACACTATCTGAAGAAACTAAATTATGCATACAATATAATTTATATCAATAGTATGTACATTCTCATTTTTTTAAAAATATGCATTGAAGAGCAGTTTCACAAAGAATAACATTTTAAAACAGAAATCCTAAAGTATGAAAAGGAAAAATAAATAATAATGTAATTAGCATAAAGCCATCAGGCAATATTGTTTTTAAAAAAATTGGAAATCTCTTTCCTATGCTCATTACTTACATTAGATTGGAGGAAGTCTCAGCAACAACCTGCACTATGCAGGTAACACAATATTGTAATATTGCTTTTTCAGTTGCTATTGGTTGATACAAAGGAACCAGTTAAGTAGAAGGTCAGTGAAAGAGAAAAAAACCCTCAATGAGATAGACTGACATAGTGACTACAACAGTGGGCTTGAATGTGGTGGTCAGAGATCATTAGAAAGCTGCAGGATAGAGCAACACTCTAATCTTTGTTCACAGGGTAAGAGTCATAGTTGATTCAAGGACATCTAACAACAACAACAACAACAATAAATAAGATACATTAAATCTCTCAACTGTATCATCAGTGTTGAAATCCTGGGAAATGTGGAGAAGGTAAAATCCTAAAATAATCTAATGGGGGGGGAAACAGAAAACATACTTAAATCACACTGACCTAAATTATGTAGAACAGATGAAAACACATGTGTACCTTCAAGAACAAACATTACCTAGTCTCTCTTTAACTAATTCACTATACTACTATAAGCGTTACTAATAGCATCAACTCACAACTACAAAATATCTGAAATAATTTACAATCAGCTTGTTATAATATTCATTACCTTCACTGGAAAGTAATATAACAAAATGTTTAAAACTGTAATATTTGCTTAACTTTATTTACACAAGTACCTGCTTTCTTAAAACTGCCATTGCTTCTTTGTGCTGCTTTGCTAAGGTCTCCTTTTGATTCTGAAGAGTTTCCTATTGTAAAAATTATAAGAAATTACTAGCAAACTAGAGCAATTCTTTCCATTTTAAGTTTTAATTATGCCATAACTTGAATAGTAAAAACATATTTATTGCATACATTATATTTTGTTCTGGAAATTTTTATTATTATTTTAATGGTCATGGCTTCAAGATACAAAAATGTTCCTTCATGAAAACACATTGCTTTTGTTTATGTTAAAGAGCCCTGGGGATTTGGTACCTAAACTACTGGACTGTTTATTAATCAAAATATCAGTAGTTCTAACTCAGTAACTGCTCTGCAAAAGAAAGATTAGCAGTTTCCTGTAAAGATTTACAGCCTCAGATAACCAACTAAATAGTTGGGACTGACTATGCACAGCAATGGACTTGACTTTTTTTTAGTTTTGTTTCGTTTTTACTGTTAAGCTCTGGGTTGACCTCTTTTTCATGCTTCTTTACTCTCTTCAGGAAAATGCTTTCTAACGAACAACTATTAAAATTTCCAGTTCTAATTAATACACAACAAAGAAGTTCCGGTATCTTAGTGGAAAGGAGTTACACTGCAAACTCTAAGGCATATGTTTCAAATTCACCAGATGCTCTGCAGTAGAAATATGGGTAATCTCCTCCTCTGTGATTTACAGCTTCTGAAAACCTACTGGAGGATCACCTATGAGCTAATGTTACACAGTACAGCCAGCAAGAAAATTTAAATCCTTACCTCTGGGCCAATAGGCAACATTATGATAGATGGAAAACAGCTACAAGTTGTCAATTATTTCATCTTGCTTGGATCCACAAACACCACCATTAGTACAAGCAATCAAGAAACCAAAAGAGTAAGGATGTCATATTAAAGACTAAGATGTACCTAATCCTAGTCATGGTATTTTCAATTACTTCCCATACATCTATCTAGAAGTTGAACAATGAATAAGGATGATCAAAAGAATAACTAATTCATTTGAACTGTGGTTTTAGAGAATAGTACTGACTATTCTATGGACTGCTTAAAGAACAAATCTGTCTTGCAGATTGTTTGAAATGCAATTTGGATGCTTCTTAGTGAAGAATGGGTATCTGAGTGCCTTGAGAATGACGTTGCTGAAGAGCATTTACCCAGATCACTACTTCTTAGAAGTGACTGACAGTTTGCAGTAAAAATCTTCAAGGAGGAAGGAAGCACGTAAGATATGGACCAGCAACTGAAGACAAGACCAAAGAGGAGTTTCCATGAGGAAGAAGATGGAAAGGGTTCCATGAGACTATGGCAACCCAAGTCAAGTTGAGCCAGGCACAACCAACAAAAAAGCAACCTAGTAAATCAATGTGGACAATATCTGATGAAGCTGTACTCCGTTCCTGACTGTTACATAAGAGGTGAATTTTCTGAGCCAATCCAGATAGAGGACTTCATTAAGTGCATAGAATGTCTGAGTGACGAGTCAGAACAAGATTTTGCTCAATAGGTATTGAAGACAACACATCTCTCAAGTGTTCTTTGGAATCCATGGAGAAGGAAAAAAAAGAATGCAATCAGAAGATTGTCAGGGAATATTCTGAGTACATGACTGACAAGGAATTTCCTCCTGGTAAAATACCTGGGATTGACTTAGCTGATCCTAAGCAGATGGCAGAATTTGCTAAAATAAAGCCAAGAAAAAAATCCAGGATGTGATTATCTGGAAATAATCATGCATCCTCAGACTGGATGTAAAAGAAAGTTTAAGGATAAAGCTGCCCTGAGAAAGCATATCTTATTGCATGTTCCCAAGACCACAGGTGTGCAGAATGTGGGAGAGCTTTCACACAGAGCTCCAAACTAAAATAACATTTTCTTGTTCACACTGGAGAAAAGCCCTTCCAGTGCACATATGAAAGATGTTGAAAGTGCTCTTATTGGACTTCAATTTGCATATCCATGTGCACATCCACACTGGGGAGAAGCGTTTTCTGAGCCCTTTTCGTGGCTGCCAAAGGAAGTGTATTCAGTCAAATAACCTCAAAGCTCACCTCTTAACTCATACCAAGATGCAGATGAATCAATGGAAAAGATATTGGAAAATAATCCTCAAGCAGAGTAACAATTTTAAGAGTGACTGAAGAAAAATATGCCTGATTATTGTATTTAGGAAGTAATTTTAAATCACAGTATCTAAAGAGATAGTTTTAAAGTTGCTAAGATACTTTTACTTTGTGAATAGCATTATATAAAACAATTTTTATGTTATCTACTTGGAACAGTAAGATCAATGTTACTTACAAAGGGTAATAATGTGACAATATTGGAGACCGAGATTATTTTTATAATTGTAAATTATTTTTATTTTTTTAACTTTAATTTCTAATTTTAGTTTGTAACTTTTAGGAAGATATTTAATGATACATATGACATAATACTAGAGATTAAAGATAGTTATCCTAAAGAGATTGCCAATAAATGAGTAGTTATACTTTTCAAAAAAAAAAAAAAGAAGGCTGATGAAACTTTCGCATTTTTTGGGCATTATCAGGACGGCCTAGTTCTTTAAAAAAAAGGACATTAAGCTCAGAAAGGTGGAAGGTCAGAGAAAGAGAGGAAGATCTTCAACAAGATGGATCGACACAGTGGCTGTAATAATGAGCTTGAGCATGTGACAGATCATGAGGATGGTGTAGGAGAGGGTAAGGTTCTGATCTACTGTTCATAGGATCACTGAGTTGTAGTGCACTGGATAACACATAACAACACATAGCAGACTATAGTCTTGGAATTTCCAAAGCCATCTTAATCTTAGAAAAGTTTCATCAGCAAAGTATATGACAACTTAAGATTTCTTGAAATTAATTAAAATATTTTAAACAAAAATTACTACAGGGCCATAATGAAAGTAAAAAAAAAAAACCACATATATTTCTATTTCTCTTTCCTCCACTCCCCTATTTTTGGTGGAGACTGTATTTTTTCCTCTTTATTATTATTATTAATTTTAATGAAAATTTACAGAGATTTTGGATTTCCATTCATTCATTGTTGCACTTTTCTTCTTGCCCACCCCTCCCCTCCAGTTCATTCTTCTCTTTGAAAAGTAAAAGAAAAATTCTTTCATTGTTATACAATACCTCCCTCCAAGTCCACTCCACTATGCAGCCTTTGTTCTGGACTCATGTCATGACAATAATACCTAATCATATATACCTTTTAAACAGTTCTCTCTCCAATCTGTTTCAATGCAGTATACATAATTTATCCCATCTTTCTCAGTCTCCCACCAACCTCTATGTCAGTCCCATTTTACAATAGTGGCACTATGCAGTATTTGCCCTTTTGTGACTGAGATATTTCACAGAGACTGTATTTTGTCCTTTATATTCAAGATAACATTTTTGCTATTTTTATCCAATAATTATGGTTACTAAAAATACTAGATCTAAAATTGGTAATTACTATTATTATCTGCTTGCACATTGCTAAATATTATGTTGATTTATCCACTAAAATATATGTATCTCTTGATTTATTATGGTAGTTGGAATCAATATGGGTTTCACTAATTTGGGGAGGTCTCTCTTCTCTGACTAGGGAAAGAATTCCATCTTTTCTGGTGCAAATAAAATTCCTATTGTCTGCAGCTAGAGCTGTTTAATTTCTTGACAAGATCAACCAATCCTCCTGTAGATTGCTGAAACTGGCCAATCTCCTTGTGAAATGGTTGATAGGTAATCCCCTTGTGAACAGGCCAACATGCTTCACTTGCACAGTAATGTAGTCATCTACACTAGAAAAGACATACTGAGAGACAAACTCCACATATGTTGATCTTGTACCATGCGCCATTTTACTGAACTGGGCAATCAGATCCAGTAACATTCTGACCAAATCTTTGAAATAGTCTATATGTAGGATCAAATCATCTGAAAAAAAAAATATATATATGTATAAATTTTATTCTCTTTGCCTATTTGGATGTCTTTTATTTTCTTTTCTTACCTTACTTCTGTGGTTGGGGCTTCTAATACTGAAAAGAAGTAGTTAAAGGAGAACCTTTTCTGATTGCCATACACAAAGGTGAATGCCTTCCATCTGTCTCCACTGAGAGCAAACTCTGCAGTTGGTTTTATATATAGGCTTTTATGTTGAGGAATTTCTCTTCTATTGAGCATTTTTTATGAGGAAAAATGTTGTGTTTTGTCAAGGATTTGTTCTGCATTATTGATATGATTGTGTGTTTACTTTCCTTTGTTTTATGTGGTGGATTACACTGATTGTTTTCCTAATGTTGAACCATCCTTGTACCACGTAATAAGAATCTCACTTTATGATTATAAATTTTTTATGATGCTTGATGCTATTTATTAGGGTTTTGTTGAGAATTTCTGCACATGAGTCCATGAGTGAAGTTGGTTTCCAATTTTCTCTTTTAGTAATATCTTTGTCTGACTTTAGTATCAAGCTTATGCTACCTTCATAGCAAGAATTCAGGTGTATTCCATTTTTTTCTAAATTCTTAAATAATCGGAGTACAATAGATGCCATGTCCTCTCTGAAACCCTGTATTTAACAGTGAAGTCATCTGGGCCAGGACTTTTTCTGGTTGGGAGCGATTTAATGACCTGTTCAGTTTATTCTTCTGTAATGGTTCTGTTCAAATTTTCTATCACTGTGTTTAGGGAGTCAATGATTTTCTAAAACTCTGCTCATTTCTTTCAAGTTTTCAAATTTGCTGGAATATTCTTCATAGTATTCTATTAATCATTTTTTTATGTCAGTTGGTCGTGTTGTGACATTACCCATTTCATTCCTCATTCACGTTATTTTTATCTTTTTTGTTAGAGTTACCAGGGGCTTGGTGGGTTTAACTAATCCTTTCAAGGAACAACTTCTAGTTTTAGTAATTCTACTGTTACTCTGTTTTCTGTTTCACTGATTTCTGCCCTACTCTTTATTATTTTCTTTCTACTGAAGCCTGTAGGGTCAACTATTTTTCTTTTTCTAATTATTGGAGATGTTGGGTTAAGGTGTTGATTTT